AATATTTTTTTTTAAAGATTTTTTTTTTTGCATATTTAATATGTGAAGGATATTATAAATATATGAATAACATTTTTATGGATACCACTTGCCAAATAAAAAGTACCCATAGAAAAATAAAATATTATTTAATCATTTAATTTTATTATCTTGAAATGAATGAATGGATGGATGATTTGGATTTATGCTTTAATTTAGGTAGAATATTAATTAATTCTTTTTTTTTTTCAAAAATATTATGTCGACAAAATAATTTCGATATTTTTATCGTCAATAAAATACCCGATACGCACTTCCCGATGTTTTACCTTTTGTTCTGGAACATAACAATATATTATAAGCACGATTTTGTTTTATACAATGTATATTATTACTAAATGGTAAACTTTTGTCTACGGATTTTTTTCCTGAAAAATCTGTCATCAATGGGTGATTCTTAATAAAACCGTCATAAAATAGGTGGATAATTCAAATCAGTGACATATTACCCAGATATTTTCTAGATAACCCATTGGTATTTTCTCGAAAAACATTGGATTGTATCGAACTACTGGTATTTTCTGAATGATCTGTAGATAATCACTGACGACGGTCTATGGATGATTTTTGTAAATAGAAGTCATTCGTTTTATGGTGTACTAGAAGGGTATTCGTGAAATGCATCGGGACATATTTCGATTTCAATGTTTTGTTTTGTTTGTTTATCTATGTCGATATAATACTATTTTATGTGGTTTTGAGAAAAACGATAGTGTTTTTTTTGAATAAAATATAAATTTAAAAATATCATATAAAATTTGTAAAAAATATATCAATATTAGTATAAAATTAACTATTTAAAAGTTCTTGTTTGTGTATTTTTTTAATTTTAATTTATTATTATAATTTAATTTGACGTAACGAAGTAACTTAATTTAGGTTTAATAACATATATATTTTTTAAAGATAATAATTAAGTATCATGTTACAACTCAATAATTATCCCAATTATATTTTATATTTTTTATATTTTAAAATAAGATAATTATTATCTATTTGATTATGTTTATCTGTAGTTAGTTACACGAATTCAAACATAGAGCTTTAATAAGTWGTACTTATGCACAATTTACTTGTAATCTTGAACTTTAAATAATGTGCATCAATAAACAATATTTCATGCATAAAAAATGGTTTTTAAGAATTTTTTTTATCAAATTCTTTATAATATAGTATAAATAACAATATATTTAAGGAAAAATCACCAAAACGATCAAAATATACCTGATGTATTAACAAAATAGCCACGAAAAATCAAAAATCCAAAATACATACAAAACAATTGATCATTTTGTTTTGTCTCTCCCCCACAATCCACATCACCTAATCAACTTTATTTCAACTTTAGCTTTAAGCTTTGGTTGTCAACTACTAACTCCCCCCCCTCCTCTTTTTTCTATATTTATTTTTATATATAATTTTATTTAAAATATTATTTCGTTTTCATAAATTTTCACGGGTTCGATTCGTTTGAGAATTGTCGTTTTTCATGAGAACTGTGAGAAATCTGACATTCATATAGACATACAGTATAATGTAACCTTCACATAATACGTGTGAACGTTTATTTTCTTTAACTCATATTAGATATTCAGCTCATCTGAATGATTTACGAGAGGAATATATCGTTTAATAACTTAATTATTATAATATACAAATAAAAATACATCATTAGGTACTGTACTATTATGATTGAGCGTCTTTTAACATACTCGTTTTATTACGGTATATAATCTATACTATATTATAAAGCATTTGATAAAAACTATTTTTTATACATGAAGTATTGAATATTGATGCATATTACTTAAAATTCAATATTACAAGTAAATTATGTATATGTACAGCTTACTAAAGCTTCATGTTTAAATTCATGTAACTAACTGCGAACAAACATAATCAAATAGAAGATAAACATCTCGTTTTAAAATATAAAAAATCTACAATATAATTAGGATAATTATCGAGTTCTAACAAAATAATTAATTATTATATTTATAAGAAAATTATATTATTAAACCTAATATAAATTACTTTGCTATTGAACCTAAATTAAATTATAATAAAAAATTGAATTAAAAAATTACACAAAAAATAGAAATTTTAAATAGTTAATTTGATACCAATATCGACATATTTTTGTCAAATTTTAATGATATCTTCAAATTTATATTTTATTCAAAAATAAAACATCATCGTTTTTTTTCAAAATCATATAAGACTATACTATAACATTGATTGAGATAAATACTGTATTGTGTGAGTATCCTTCTAGTGATTAATAAGATAAATACTGTAATTAAAAAAGGTAAAGTTAAAAAATAAATATGAAATTATTGAAGATAAGTAAGACGTCATTTTTCTTTGCGAATTTGTGCAATTTTTCACTTTTTTTGAGTGACCCAAAACATCGCTTTCATCATATATTTATAAAAGAAAATCACTTTAGATGCTTTTAATTTATCAAATTTGTATAATGTTATGGTTTTTAAAAAAGTCATTATATATCTATAACAAATTTTTGTAATTTAATTAATATATATTTGTTTTACAATATGTTTTTGTTTCATATGTATTCGGTTCAGAATGTGAAACTTTTTTTATGTGTATTTTTGTTTTACAAACACATAAGAAAATTCACATTGTGAACTGAGTACATATGAAACAAACACATTATGAAACAAATATACGTCAATCAATACATTAAATACTATAATGGGATGAAAAAAGATAATATAAAATATCACATGATGTGTTGGTTCTTAGAGATCTCATAATTTAACACACACACACAAACATATATATATATATATATATATATATATATATATACTAGAAGCGTACTCGCGTAATGCAGGGAGATACATCGTGTTTTTAATGTTTCATTTTATTATTTATCTCAGTCGATGTTATAATATGACTTTATGTGATTTTGAGAAAGCGATGATGTTTTTATTTTTGAATATAATATATGTTTGACGATATCATAAAAATTTGACAAAAATATATYGATATTAGTATCAAATTAACTATTTGAAATT